CAGGACTTATCACGTCACGCAGCGCATCAGCACCGCTCAGGTGCGATGCAGTCACCGTTTGTGGGTCGACGATTTGTCGCGGGCCACTAAGGGCTCGCGAGAGGAAGTTCGATCGAATATTCTCGAGTGTACTTCGGCCACGGCAGCTGGATTGCGGACCCAGAGGTTGCCCATAGCATCTAAGTCAGTGGTTATGTGCTCACGCCACGGCGACGCGAAGGCGGTGGTCAAGGCGCTGAGACTCCGAGGCGTTTCTATCTCTGCAGCTCGTCAGACTTCATATTTGGGTGTGGATTTGGGCGCAAACTGTCGGCATGCGCGAGAGCAACGTTCAAAACGGAACGCCAGACATGTCCTTCGCAACAGGAAGGTGGTCCGCTACACTAGAGTTATTCGAAGGGCTCATCTGACTTCCAAGTTGGAGCGTCAGGGGGGCCAAGCAGCAGGAAGTTATGGATATCAATTGCATGGAGTGGTTGGATCTCACCTCGCGGCCTACCGTCGCAGACTCGGGGCCGCCTGCTGCGGCAAGTCTCGGGGGCGATGTGTGACTACCCTTCTGGCAATCGAAGCTCCCAACCTCGACCCAGCGGAGAAGTTTGCAGCAGGCACTTTCGAGTTATGGTTGCAGCAGTGGAGGGATCAACCTCAGCTTCGGGGTGCTGCCCTTCGTGCGCGGCCTAAGGTCAGGGCCAAGATGGAGAGTATTCCTGAGGCTGTGCGCAGTCGGCGTACACGAGGGCCGATGCCTGCCATCATGTCTTACGTGCTGGGCCCCGGGTGGGTCCCGAGGACCCCTGCGCCATGGGAGCCACCTGGAGATGTCAAGCGGGAGTTTCCCGATGGGAACTTCACTGGCATTCCCGCGCTGGATAGTTTCAAGGAGTTCATTGATGAGGTAAAGGTAGCTGCGATGGTTCCCTTCTGGCGCCAGGCAGAATTGCACCACGGCGGGGGCGGCCTGGGGCAAGGAATTGACGGGTACCCTCTCCGACGGTTACCCAAGCAGCGTCGAGGTGCGCGACCTGGGGGGCCTCGTCTTGCAGGCCTGCTCTTGAACATCGCGATCGGGGCTGCCTGGCCCAAGGCTAGGAAGATGGATCAGTTGAAGTCCCCAGGGCGCGTGTGTCCAGTGTCTTCCAATGCTGGCCACTCGGGCTCTGTTTCAGGTGATCAGACGAGCCCCGATGTTCCTCAGCAGTCGGCGGCGCCAAGGGCGCAGCCCGTGCTGACCAACATGAGCGACGACCACGACCCGTTTGCCGATATCGAGCTGAGTGCTGACGAGGGCCAGGCGTACCAGAATGGGCCTACGAGCGCAGTGCGACGGGGTGCACAAGTGGGCATTCAATTTAATGTGAACTGCGACCGATGTGGTGAAGCTCCTGAGACATCTTATCACAGATACTGGAGTTGTTCTCATAACAGGGGTGCAGTAGCTTATCTTAACAGCGAGTGCCTCGAAGGGCAGGCCAGAACGCAGCATGAGATGCACGCTTGTTTTTGGCACAGAGGACTCATACCCGCTGCATGGACCAGGACTCCTGATCCTCCGCAGGAACACTCTTGGACTTGTGGTGGTCTGAACGATGGTGTGTTTGAAGGACGTTTGCCCATGGGGACCGAGAATGCAAGTGGTGGCCCAGACACTGTAGATAGCAGGTTACGACGTGTTGCTTTAGGAGTCGCCACTGTTGCCAATTATGTCGACCCGCAGGTGGGGTGTTTCATCACTGGACCGTTGACGGGGCACCGCCAAGTGGTTGCTCGGGGCGAACTTCGAGGGCTCTGGCTTGCCATCTGGGCCAGTCAGGGGCCAATTATGTATGTGACGGATTGTGAGAATGTGTACAAAGGATGGATATCTAAGGCACGTGTGCACCACAAAGGTGAAGATGGTGACGAATGGGCCCGCATAGGGCAACTACTTGAGCATCGGTCTCCAGACTTGTTTCAGGTCAGATTCGTGAACTCAAATCTTAGTGCTGAAGATGTCATGAGCCACCGTGCTGAATCGTGGCTAGTCGTGGGCAATACCATCATCGACGAGCTGGTGAAGGACGCGGCCATTGCTGCACGGCCCCCAGTGGCTGTACGACATGAAGTGCTGCAAGTCGAGCGACGAGCTCACCTTGTACGACACAGGCTCCTGCGAGCCTCACTGGACGTCTTGGCAGCCGAGGCCGAGATGGGGATGAAGAGAAAGGCGGGACCTCCACCTCCTCCTCCCCCTCCTCCGCCCGCCCCGTCAGTAGTTGCCACAATGGTTTCTCAGCATCAGTTTGATGATTCTCGTTCGCGCTGTTCCATGTGTTTTAGCTCGGCTACCCAGGCTCGGGCCACTAAATAGAAACGAACCCCCTGCTTTAAGCCTCTGGACATACACGGGGATTATTGTAGGCTCACATTTAAGCAGAAGCTTCATCTAGCGGGGGGCTGGGCGCACGAAACCCATCAGCTGAAATTGTGCACGCGTTTAAATGTGTGGTTCTGCGGAGTGTGTGGATCCTTCTCAAGCAAGCGTAAGTCCGCCATCCAGGAACCATGTTCGTTGAGGGCCACACCCACGGGGGCAGAGTATTTGAGGAGGACTCACTCGGGACAGTGGCCGAAGGTCTTGAGCAAGGCCGAGAAGGCCAGCCGACTGGCCAACCCGAGGAGGAAGCCCATCTCCCCCATTTACAGCCATTTTCCTGTCACTTAGTGAACTGACGTTCTCATTCTCACCACCACCAGAAGTCCGTGCCCAGAAGCCACGCCTCGAGCTGCTGGCGCTCCGCTCTGGGCCCTCCCCCCCCCGGGAACGCCTGGAACGGGGTGCCGCAGCTCTGCGGGAGGAGCGGCCAGCCCGCGAGCTGGTGGTGATGTCTCTTCCCCCTCTGGTGAATAACGGCGTGTGTGTGTACGTATGTATGCATGTGTGTATGTCTGTACGCATGTACGCATGTGTGTATGCATGCATGCACGCTTGTATGGGTGTATGCATGTATGCATGCATGTATGTATGCCTGGACGTATACATATGTGTATATGTGTGTGGTTGGCGTTGTGTGTATAAATATGTATGCAGGTATATATGTACGTATGGGTGTATGCATGTATGTATGCATTATGTATGTATGCATGTATAAAGGTATGCATGGATGTATATGGATATGGATGTGTTGATGTATGCATATCCATATATGTCTATATATATATATGTATACAAATCTAGGTATATACACGTATATCAGAACGCGGAAGTCCGCGGCGAGTCCTCGGATCCGAGAAATCCGCGCAGACCTGCGGCAGTTTTATGTTCGTACCATTCGTTGCTCCCCGAATCCTAGCGACCTCGCCCTGGAGCCCCCGGACGTAGTCCGGCCGTTCCTCGTGGGCGAAGCACATACAATCAGAAAATTAATGGTATGTAAGGAAACAGGGTAAGGATGCAAGACCCCTTGGATGTTCCAGTTGCCCTTGTGAGAGCTCCCTGGGGGTCAACGTTGGCTCAGGATGCACAGGCGGACCTGACAATATCAATATCCACGGCCTCGCGGGCCGAACACCTGGTCCGCGACTCCGTGGACACGGGGCGTTTCGCTCGCGAATGCCCCGCGCGGAACGTATCAATGCGACCGCGTATCCCCAGGACCGCGCCGCGGAGTCGATGAAGCTGACGATGACGATGACGATGACCATCGTCAACCGTCATCGTCATCGTCGTCGTAATCGTCATCATCGGCATCGTCGTCTTCATCACCTTCATCATCGTCATCATCATCATCGTCTTCGTCGTCGTCATCGGCATCGTCGTCATCGTCATCGTCATCAACATCATCACCATCGTCGTCATCGTCATCGACCGCGAGGGCGTGGATATTCGACAAGGAAACGTTCGTCGCCCGTGAGTGCCTCGAGGAGCTCCCGAAGGTACCAGTACAGGCTGCCGTCCGCCTTGGCCATCGGCCACCGGATGCTAAACCTGTCCCAGTCCGCCACCGAGGCGACGGTCGGCGGCGCGCATGGGGGAAAGGTGATGAGGATGATGACGATGGTGATGCTGATGATGCTGGTCGTCATCATCATCATCATCATCATCATCGTCATCATCATCGTCATCATCGTCATCATCATGGTAATCATCGTCAGTATCACCATCACGATCACCATAATCATAATCAGCATCAAAATCATCACCACCATCATCATCACCAACATCATCACCACCACCACCATCATCATCATCATCATGGTCACCATCAACATGATCACCATCTTGATCATCACCATCATCATCACCACCACCATCATCATAGTCACCATCAGCATGATCATCATCTTCATCATCACCATCTTCGTAATCGTCAGCAGCATTGTCATAACCATCATCCAGACCCTCATCATCACCATCATCATCATCACCATCACCACCACGATCATCATCATCATCATCATCATCAGCAGCAGCAGCATAATCATCAACTCAGCATCATCATCTTCACCTTCATCATCAGCATCAGCATCAGCATCAGCATCAGCGCCAGCACCAGCATCATCATAATCATCATCATCATCATCACAATCACCACCATCGTCATCATCATCATAGTCATCAACAGCATCATCATCAATAGCATCAGCATCAGCATCAGCATCATCATGACTACCATCAGCATCATCATCATCATCATCATCATCATCGTCATCATCATCAGCATCATCATCATCATCATCAGCAACATCATCATCAGCAGCAGCATCAGCGCAAGCATCAGCATCAGCATCAGCATCACCACCCTGACCATCACCATCACCATCATCACCATGATCATCATCACCATCATCATCATCGTCATCATCATCAACCTCTTCTTGAAAGGGCGGGCCTCCTCACAAGGCCCAGGAGGAGGCCTCGGGCCTTCCGAGAAGCTTCCTCGGCCTTCTCCCCGAAGCCACGGAGACCTCATCAGAAGGCCAGGGGGCTTCTGCGAAGTCCCGCCGCCTCCCGCCCCCTTTCACTCCCCCCCTCGGCGCGCCGCCGAGAAGGGGAAGCGGAGATCGTCCGACAATATCACGGGCACGCACCCCGAGAACAGCGCCTCGAAGACCCGGGAGGTGTAGGAGCTGGCCCCCTTCGGGCAGAGGCAGAAGTGCGAGTTCCCCATGATGGCCGCGTAGCTCGGGACCGGGCCTCCCAGGGACACGTTCGGCAGGCCCGCGAGCTCGAGCAGAGACAGGCGGACCGTCTCGTTGGTCACCCTGTTGGGCGGCCTCCCAGATGGGCTTTGTGCAGACGGGGCCGGAGACTCGCGCCGCATCGAGGATGCACCGCCGATGCATTGTTGGTGCATCGGCGACGTGTGCGATGCACCGGCGCCGTCGGCGTGAGCAGAATCGGGCTCCGCATCGAGCCGTTTTGGCGATGCATCGGCGATGCGGCGCGGGCCTTCGATCCCAGTTACTCCAACCTCATCTGGGAGGCCTACACCTGTACGCCCTCCTGACGTCGGCGTCGGACGAATTGGCGTGCTGCCCGTGCCACGCCATCACGATCGTCCTGTCTCCGACTGGGCGCGAGTTCGCCAGCAGCCTCTTAACCTGGGCCAGTGGCGTGACTGGCGGGACCACGAGGTCCTTCCAGGGCTGGAAGCAGTCCCGGCAGTGCCAGCAGAGGTCGTCGGAGCTGGAGCACTCGATGGGGTAAGACTCCACGGCGAGGATGACCGCAGGGGCCAGGATCTCCCTCCACCCGGGCAGCTGCCAAGCCGAGGCGCCGAACAGGAAGACGTGGTCCTGGGGGGGCAACATGAGTACAGTCGGGCTGCTGAAAGAAGGAACGCTAAATAAGGAACGAAGCACCTTCTTGGCCCTGTAAGCGCCTCCGTGCCCCGGGAGGGCAAAGAGGAACAGCACTGGAGGCACCTAGGGAACATCGAGCCCCTTCCGAACCCAAACTGTTCCTTATTTCGGCGTCCTGGCCGTACCCAGACACCCGATGCCGCTGCTTCCCGGACCTCTCCTGGGGGCGCACTCTGACCAGGACTTCGCAACGACTACGGCCGTGGCGACGCACGCCTCCCAGGAGGCCCAGGAAGGCGAGCACGAGGTGAAGGTGGTGGCACGGTGGAGGCCAGTCCACAGGAAACCCTCCCCACGAAACCCAACCCTGAGACCCCAGGACGTCCATGGATTCTGGTGTGGGAACGTCTCGCTTTCCATACCCAAACCATCGAGGCCCAAGAAACCCAGGGCACCCTGGAGGCAAACACGGTGTTTCTTGGCATGGGTCTCCACTGTATCGGTCACCTCTTCCGCTTCTGAGGTCCACACCCCCGCGGCGGCCCCAGTGGGGCAGCAGCCGCACCCGCGACGCGAGCAGCTCGGCGCGGCGGGCCTTCTCCTCGGCGGGAAGGGCGCCCACCTTGCGGGGAGGCGCAAGGATTCGGGTGCGGGGGACTCGGTTGGGCCTGACGGGGCAATCGTGAAAATGACAAGACGCAATCTGAACTTTCACGCGAACTCCCGCATCAGACATCCCACGAAAAGTGGACCGTCAAAATCCAGGTCGCGCTCCTGAGAAAGCGTGGGTAAACCCGAGCGCTGGCGCACTCGGGCCTCGCGCTTCCCCGAACCTTCTGCAGCTCCCAGCAGGTGAGATCCGCCACCGTGCCCCCCTGGCACACCGAGGCGTGGCAGAGTGCTGCGGCCCGTCGCGGCAGGGCGTCGGCAGCCTTCGAGGGTCCCCCCCCATCCTGGTGGGTCACGCCAGCCTGCATGCACCGCCCCCCTTCCCCTACGGGTCGGGGGCCAGCGTGGGCCCCCAAACCCGGTGCGTCCTTCCACCGTGGAGATGAAAGGGCTGCGCGGGGGAAGCGGCGCGCAAGCTGTGCGGGGCAGTCTGCTTGTGCGCCAGACAGGCGGCGTGAGCTGCTGAGAGTGATGAGCGGCTCAGAGACATGGGAACGATCTTGGGCGTTGCTTAATGGGGGTCACAAATGGGGGGGTCAGAAAAGGTCCCCTTTCGTGCCCCTTTCGGGCCCCTCCAGAGCCCCAGGGGGCTCGTTTAGGCACCGTTTGGGTACCTTTTCGGACCACCCTCGCCACCCCCCCATTTATGACCCCCCTATTACGCAACGCCCAACGATCAACAGACATAGCTTCGCCGGGTTGACCCCCAGGCCGTCTGGGAGGGCAGGGGGAGGCCCGAGGGCTGACAGCTCGGAGCGGCGGGGGTGGCGAATGCGGGCTGGTCGCAGGCACCCGCGGTCCCCTGACGCGGGCGCCCTGCAGTCCTGGGGGAGACGAAGACCGACGGGCGATGACGTCAACGCAAACGACGGCGGACTGAGGATGGCATGGGGGGGCTGCGTGGGCGTCCTGCGGTGCTGGGCGGCGGCGACGGACAACGACGACGACGACGACGAAAGCAGCCCTTTGCGGATGACATGTGGGGGCTGCGAAGGCGGCTTGCACTCACAGGGGACGACGACGACGACGACGACGACGACGACGACGACGACGACGACGGCCCTTTACGGATGGCATGTGTGGGGGGGGCGCTGCGCAGGCGTCTCGCAGTACCGGGGGACGGCGACGACGGACGACAACGACCCGACGACGACGGCCCTTTGCGGATTGCACTTTGAGGGAGGGGCTGCATAGGCGGCTTCCAGCCCAGGACGACGACGACGACCACGACGACGACGACGGCCCTGTGAAGATGGCATGTGTGGAGGAGGGAGATGGGGAGGAATGGGGGAAGGAAAGTGCTGCGCAGGCGTCTTGAAGTCCTGGGGGACAGCGACGACGACGGACGACAACGAAACGAAGACGACGCGTCCAGCAGTCCTGGGGCGATGGCGGACGACGACGACGAGGGACGACGGGATGACGACCGACGGGATGACGATGGCTAACACGACACCAAAACAATCGGTCGGGGGGGCGATAACAAAAGCAATGTCGCCCCTAATTTGATTCGTCTGCCCTGCACAACAGCAAGGCAACCCCTGGGGGGTATTTGCTTGATCGTTTACCTCCAGTATGTTGTGTAAGCTGTGCGGTGTGACCCATGTGGTGTAAGCGATGCTCTGTGAGCTGTGCGGTGTGAGTCATGCGCTGTGAGCTGTGCTGCGCAAGCTTACGTTACTCGGCGGTGGACAAACCTCCCTTTAGTAAACCGCCCTTTAGTGAAAACGGCCTAGGACCGACACCGACGGACCTGGACCCGCAAAAATGACGGCAGCGTCATGATGCTGTTAAAAAGTTTGGCGAATTTGCAATTTCGAGCTTCCTTCAGTACCAGACGGCTCTCGAGGCTTCCAAGACGGCCCCAAGACGGCCCAAGAGTGCCCCAAAATTGCCCGTCAATCCTGCAGGACGGCCAGGAGAGGGCCCAATAGATTCCCCACACGGCACAAGACTACCCCAATAAAGGCCAACGAGTCCGACACCGAGGACGAGGACAGACACCGACACGACGCGGATGAGATGAGCGCGTTACAATTTAAGGCTCTCCCAAGACTGGGTACACAAAATGTCGCACGTCACCGCCTCCCGTGCCCCCTCAAACAACTGCCACCACGAATGCTGAACTGGCACGGTGGCAGGACTTGCCGCAAGCCGCTGCATACGCGGGGACGAAGAAGAAATCGGCCTTCCTCCAGTCGGACTCCCGACACGCGCTGCTGCGGAGGAAACGGTGGATGTACACCTCCGAGGACCAAAACCCGATGCGCGCGCAGGACAGCGGGCGGTCCGCCATGTCCCCGACCTCGTACACGAAAACCCGCGGCGCGCCGACGGGGCAGCCACTCGTGAAGCGGGGGTCGAGGCCGAACAGCCGGGGTCGAGAAACAAACACTGCATACACACAAACTTCCAGAGGTCTGCGCGGAGTGCTTGGATCGGCGCTGGACCACCCTCCCTGCAGCGACGGAGGCGGCGCCAATGGGCTCAAGCCCCGATCGGAGAAAGCCGCGCGGACCTCCAACAGTTATATGTTCATGTCATCTTTTGCTCCCCGAAGATGGGGGTAGTGGTCGAACATCGCGTGGTTGATCATCTCGTTCCTAGAGGCCTCCAAAATGGGGTCGGAGCAAATGATATCACAAGATCGCACCGCATCGTCGATGCATCCGTGACGTCGGTGTGGCGGAAATGAAAATCGGGCCCAACATCGAGCCGCATCGGCGACACATTGGCGATGCATCAGCGATGCGGCGTGACCCTTCCACCCCAAATGGTCGGACCCCTTTTGAGATGCCCCATACTTTTTCAGATTTCCTGGATTTCCCTCTTCCCCCTCCCCTTCAAGATTTTCGAGCAGATGACAGCTTCTTTGTGTTTGTGCCTGTGTTCCCCTCCCGAGTTCCGGTCAGTGCCGGCGGGACCTCTGTGGGCCCGCACGGAGGCCACTCTGGCGAAAAGGTTACTCGTGCGCGCAGCGGAGTCTTCGGCCCCATCCGCTCCGACCCCGTTTGTCGGAGAAGGGCGAGCTGAGATACAGTCGGGGCGTTGACCCAAGGAACCCCAAATGAGGAACGAGGCCCCTTTATTCAATCAGTTCAACTTCGACTTCTCATCGAAATCCTGGGGAAATCCTACGGCCAACCGTAAAGCAACTAAGGGACGCTGAGCCCCTCCCAAACGAACAGGGTTCCTTCTTCAGCACCCCGACTGCACAGGGCAGTTTTTAATACATTGGATTTTTCTTAATATCGGATTTTCATACATGATTAATTTTTGAACAAGTTCATGCATGAACTCATCGTTGTTTTTAATACTAAATCCCTGTATGTTTGATACATGATCCGCACGCGGAGCATGTACTAAAAACGGCACTGTACGGGAAATACTCAAACTCGGCCCAAAATCGGCCCCAGGACCCCGCCTGGGCTCTGGACGCACCACTTGTCCGAGCTGCGTCCCGCCGTGGCGACGGGGGGACCCCCCGAATGCCAACTACCGGTTCAAGGGGGCCCCAGGACACACAAATGAATACACACAAATAGAAGGATCCCAATATTTTCCAATATTTTCTGTGTTTTTGTCTTCCCGCCCAACTCCCATAGTTCCTCATCTTTTCTTGGGGATCGACGATTCATTCATTGTGTCTGTGTGTCTTTTCCCCACCTGACCGGTGTCTCACTTCGCATAGGGGAAGCGGCTCCTTAGGGAAACGGGTCGCCGATGCATCGCCGACGTAGGCAAGGCATCGGCGACGCATCGGCGTGGAGGAATTCGGGCACCGCATCGAGCGGCATCGTCGATGCATCGGCGATGCGGCGCGATCCCGTCGACCCCATCAACTCCGACCCCATCTGGGAGGCCTAGACCTTTGCAGAGGGCCGATTCGCAGACAATCCATTAGCTCAGCATGGGGGAAGCGGCCCCGAGACGGGTTCTGGAGCTGGGTGCCTGCCCCCGGGACGAGCTCTTCAGCCCGAGTCGGTTTTCTTCTGGCAGCCCGGGGCCCGTGCAGGGTCCCGAGAGGCCGAATGCTGCGACGAAATCTCGGGAGCCGTTTCCCTCGGGACCCGTTTCCCCCGTGTCGTTGCAGGCTGAGCCTGCCGTCAATCGACTCGCGCTGGACCCGCCACGATCTGCTGTAAATCTTCTTGGGGAATCTTTGGATTTACCTGGATCTACTACGATTACCTGGATGCACCTCGATTAATTTCCATTTCTACCTGGATCAATCTCTGGCCCGATCCCCACGAGTCGATGAGCGATAAAGTCGTCAAGCCCTTGAGAACCATGGCGACTCATGCGGCCCTCCAGCGAGTTTGTCGGGGGCGCGCAAGCAT